GTTACAAACATTTGCTGTCTTGAATGTGTTGCCATCTCATTACAACGTTTCAACTTCTGCGTGGACAAATCTCTTATTTATACTCTTGTGCCTTCATGTAGTGAACACTGATATTCAAGGCAGTAGAAAACAGAGTGAAAGGACACCATTTCTACTACTTTTAAAATACTCTCTTTTCATTACTTTTAGCACCAGAAATTGATGTCTCTGTATCAAAAATGTAAAAGTTTCTGATTTGAAGATGTCAGATGAAGATGGTAATGGTTAAAGCCTGGAACTGAGATAAGAATTTGTGACAGTCTGGGTCATCTGAGCTTCTGGGACCTGTCAGCCAACCATCACTTACAGATAGTGAAAAGTATGGATTGCTTTTGACTTAGACTCCTAAAGCAAATTTGGGGGTGCTACAGTACCATGAGGAGTGCTAGATTTAGAAATTTCAGATGAAAAGGTATAACATGTCTTTTATTCTGCCCCGGTGTCATTATGTCATTTGTGATATAAATGAACATGACAAATTTTACCCATATAGCTCTATACAGCCTCAATGGAATATTCCCAGGTAGAAAATCAAGACATACTGTGTATGAGACGCTTATTTTAGCTGTACTCTCAATGAGCTCTGCAAAGAACTAATTTTATTATATATAAAAAGCAATGAAATGATACTTAATTTCTGGGATTCCTTAAATAGATAAAGAAATTACTCTAAAAATAAAGTAAGATGAAACTTTCAGACCTGAAAGTGAATCAGCTGTTTGAAGTCTGCCTGGCAGTTGACTAAAAGTGGCACTACTCAGGCAGTCACCACAGTGTCTCGTGTTCCACATCACTGGCTCCCTGGATGTTGGTGGAAGGTGTCTGTGCAAGCTTACAGGTGACAATGAATGGGCTCAACTCTACTGGATCCCTGGCTGCCCTCCCAAAAGACTGAAGGAAATGAACCAAGAGAGACCTGCCAACAAGGTTCAGCAAGGGCAAATGCAAAGACACATCCTTGGCATGCCATAACCCCATGCAGCAGTGCTGGGAGGGCATCACAGGGCCAGTAAAAAACTCTGCAGGAAAGGTCTGTGGGTCCTGGGGAAAAGTTGAAAATGATACAGCAATGTGTCCTTGTGGCAAAGAACACTAACTTCATACTATGCTGCATTTGCAAAAACACAGCCAGCAGGTCAAAATAAATGATTGCTCTTTCTTACCTGGCATTTGTTGGACCACTGTTTGCCCAGTTTTAGGCTCTCAGTATCTTTTTTTTAATGAGAGATTGAATATCTTGTGTAAGTTAACTAATGAGTATTTCATAAGGAAAATGGAGCCAGACTTTTCTGAGATTCCCAAGACTAGTGGCAATGGACATAAGTTGCAGCAAAAGAAAGTTTTTATTGAAGTTAAGCAAAAATTTCTTCATGCTGAAGGTGGTCAAATATTGGAGCAAGGGCCCAGAGAGGCTGTGAAATCTCCATTATTGGAGATATTCAAAACTCGAAAGTGGAAAGTGCTGAACAACCTCAGCAAAATAAGCTTTATTTTAAGGGGGTAGAAGAGACGATGTGCAAAGGTCTTTTCCAACCTAAAATAATCGATGTTTCTGTGTACCTAGAATGCAACATGTACAGATAATTTACTTGCTTGTATCCCCACCCAGACTTTTCTTACCAGTTACAGTTTTTCCCAGTGTTGGTTTGGATTTTTTTCCAGGGGGCTGGGTTGATGAATTTTCTGATGAAACTGCCCTTTGCATTTATTTTTCAAAATAAGAATATGATGCCAGAAACATTCTTCAAAAGACATTAAGTGATATTACTCTATATTACAAATTCCTAAGGAGGGCAATTCATAGCAAGTATAACATTGTCCCCATACTTCCTATAACCTATTTCTTCAAGATCCAAATAAATGCTGTCAGAACATGGAATAAACTGCTCTTCCAGAGTGTAAGAAGTGCAATCTGTCCACATTACACTGCCTCACTCTCTAAGGAGCCAGAAAGGATTTGCTTCAGTAAAGAAGGCACTCTGTTATATGGCTTTTTCTCTTATAGTCTCATATCTTATGTTTCAATGGGTAAACTCTGCAAGTCAGATTTATATTCAGGTCTAAAATTATGTTTTGTTGCACTAAAATCAAAGGAAGAAATGACAGATTGATCTATGGAAGAACAGGTGGGAACTGAACAGACCTTATTAATCTTTTTCGCTACTTGGTGGCACTCAAGTGCCTTTAATACATGGTGAGAACTTTATCTGTGCCGTGTGAAGTTAACCTTGAATAGGACTCGAATTTCTAAGTGTCAGATGAAATTGTGTCTGAGCTAATAACCTGTATTTTTTTGGTAATTCAGAGATTTTGGCAGCATCCTCTTGTCCTCAGTGTTTTCTGCCCAGATGAACAACATTTAATATGGATCCCCTTCTGAGACATCTCTTCCCATGTTTTACATCTGAGACAGAGGGATGAACTCCTTTTGTGGGAGAACTAAACTTTCAGGCCCCTCAGTCCCTATCTGTGCATAATAAGGAACTTCCTGATGAAGGAACTTTACTTCTATTTAAGGCATAGAAATTAATTGAGCTAAATATAGGCTCATTTAAGCATGACATTGAAGTTTAATGAACATCAAAAAAATGGGAGGCTCCTGTGTTCAAGTACCCACTGCTCTGTGTATTTTCTGTGAAGCTTTTTGTGCAAGATACAAACCACAGAGCACAGAGTGTTGTCTCTGCTGGATCTCTTTAGTTGCCCATCCAAGAGACCTGGGTATAAAGCTAAACCTCAAATGGGGTCAGAAACAGCAAAGTTCACATTACAGGTATGGTGCATATATTAATCAACCATCATTATGCACAACTACATGAATTTAACTTATTCCAGAATATTTCTAAGCAGTGTCTTCACTACATCACTCATTTACTTCTGATTAGGATACTGTATTTGTTATTACTTAGGCATTGAAAAATGGAAGTGAAATTTTGCTGTCTTACACACAGACATAAAGATCCTGAGAGGTGGTGAATCAAGCTGAGAGATGCCATGGGGATGTGGTGTCTAGGAGAGGAAAGAGTCCTCAAACTGTAACAGTGGTTTGTTTTTTATACTAGATACATTTCTTTAATTGTTTATTCCTTCATGAAAGTGCTCAGGAGCAGAATAGAAACTGAAGAACCGAGTAAGACACTGATTGTTGTTGTTGTCTTTCAGACAGAGTTTTGAAAAATGCATCTACTGGCTTTAATGCCATTAAAAGAATTTAACAAGTTAATGCAATAAAATTTAATTATCTTGATTTCAGTACGTCCCTAGTTGCATTTACATGATGAAAGTACTATAGGGCTCATTATCTTAAATAAATTCCTAATTTTCTGCTTACAGTTGCTAAAAGTGTTGCTCCAGAACAGGCAGCACCAAAGTGAGCATTTCATTCACTTCCACAGGGTTACAACACTTCAAGTTTAAAAGCTGTAACCTCCATGCCATGACTGGAAAGAAATCCCATTTTTGCAGGAGGACAAAATTGCTGTAGACAATAACAGGCCACAGGCTTTGTCCTGTGTCTGCAGGTGTCAGGGCTGAGGCAGGTCAGGCTCTGTCCAAGCTTTACATGAACTGCCCAGAGGTTTGTTTTTTCTTTATTTTGCTCCAATAGCATCCACATTTCTTAAACATGGTGTCTAACATGCATCAGATATTTCTTTGTTCTCTTCTACCCTTGAAAACAGCTCTGCCCAGCTCTAGGTCTGCCTTTCTCTAACTGAACATCTGATTGTGCTTCCTAACTGCAAAAATGAAGATGAGATTCTTGAACTAACCAACTGGAAAAGAGTGGGCTATCCTGAAGTCATTTTTTTTGCAAGCCAAGGGATGAAGAAGTGTTACAGTAAAAAAATAGAATTCTGATTCTCTTACGCAAGCAAGACTTTCAAAGCAAAAGACTGACTTTTAATAGATGAGAAAGCAGATTTTCTGCTCTCAGATTCCATTGGTGAAGCTTCCACACAGAGGTGTTGCATTGTAACAATTCTAGTCAATCACTCAGCAGAAGGAAATCATTCTGAATATCTGACAAAACAAACTTAACCATCTTCTAGCCACCCCTAATAGCTCAGGAGATGGCCCTGTGGTTTGCATTAATACTGCAGTTCATAAGTCTCTTCCAATAACATGCCTTTGCCAGATGAAGGGTACGTATTTGTCTTTCCAAACTCCCATCACTCATGAATAGTCCTTCCCGTGAGACCTGAATGATGGTAAATATTAGTCAAGCAAGTGTCATTTAGTTTACTTTGTCAGAAGGTGGACACATTATTATCTTTGGAGACTGTAGCAAAGTTAAATTTAGTCTAAGTTACATTTTTCAACCTCTGTAGGAGGACTGTTAGTCTAAACAAAAAACGTCTTTTTTTAAAAAATAAATTGGCTGTATGCTTTTTCTCTATGTAGCTTCTTCTCAGTATGCTGAATTAGTTCCTCTTAAAATTAGCATCATTAAAAAACTATTGCACACATATGCCACACAAATATCTAAGATGGGTTGCTGATCCAAAAAAAAAAAGGAGAAAAAAGAAAGCAGGTGTGTGCATCTGTCAATAAATAAACTAAATGGATTTAATGAGACTTAAAGAGAATAATTTTTTTGCCATAGACTGAGATATGCTTGATCTTGTCCTTCACGTTTTTAACAATCATATAACAATTGATCATACAAATTGACTAGAACAATGTTTGAGAGAAGCAGTCTTGTGGCCATAACAATTTAATTTTAGACAGTAGCCAAATATCCTCATGCTGTTATCAAAATCATTAATATGCTACACGAACACATGAACAACAAAAATTCCTCATTTATTCTCCCTGCATATCGGCAGGATTAATGTCAAATACTCTCCAGTTTCCTGAATAAAAGGTTTCTTGTTTTTGATGTGACAAATGAGAAACAAATCTCAGCCTGAACTTTTTCATGAGCTGATTATTTCATACTGTGATTTGTATTTTTTTGACAGGCCCGAGTTCCAGGTGGACCAGAGGTAATACCAGTCACCCATCCATGCTGGCAGAAAGGCAGCAGAGGAATACAAAACTGTACAAAATGCTAATTCTCAGTATTCTGTTCCTATCCCTGTAATGTTCAGCTGTTCATTATTGTGCCCTATGATTGTGATCTGATTCCATTAAAATAAAACTAATATATGTGATAAAAGTTTTCCTCACGCTCTTTAGGATATTTCTTTTCTAGTGCAGAGACCTGTGGAAACAACCACTCTTGTTTTGGGCTATCAAGTACGTGAATACATGTACATGAATTATCAGGGACTGTGTGATGTATCAGCTACACCTCAGAGAAGCAATACCTCTGTTTGCTCTTTCTGTAGAAGGTAAAACCAGGTCCTCTGTGTCCAGTCTTCAGAAATGTGCAAAGGCACTACTAACATGGTTCTCTCCCTTGATTTTGGAGTTTATATTAATCCCCAGAGTCTCTAATTTTGCAGAAATGCCTAGACCTAACCTTGGCATGAGCTAAAAATAAAATTTAGAAGAAATAAATTGTGATACAAATTCAAATCATTAACCCATCATCAAACCCATCATTTATTGGGTGTGTACGAGCTGCGTATGAGCTTCTCTTTGCCAAAACTATGTAGCACAGCCAGGGAAACCAAAGGAAATCGTGTATTAAACAAAAGACCAAATCCTCCACTCTTCCAGCCTTACAAAGTGTACTCCACAAGAACATTTTTATTCAGAAAGAATCCACATCTAGAGTAAAGGAAATCAATTATTTATGCAGAGGTTTTTTTTTCAGATAATTTTGCTGTTCTTCAGAGATTGGACTAGAATGGGAAAGAGGAATAGTTTTAAGCTGAGGAGTCTTAAAAGCTTCTCTGCTAGGAATTCCCAACTTTATTAATTTTCTCTTGCTGGCAATACAATTTTGCTTTGAAATAAATTCCCCTGCACTGTCATCTTCCTTCTTTGGGGAGCATGTAGGCAGTTCTAAGTCACATTCTGCATATTCAGCAGAAGGAAAAACATTATCTGTGAATTTACTAATGGCAAGACTAACACCTCTAAAATGAAAAAAAAAAAAAAAGCTTATCTCCTAACTATTGCCAGAGACAAGACTACAACTTTCAATTCAGCTCAAGAAGATACCCTGCTTTTATGAGCTGGGTGCAACAATTAGGAATAATCAGAGCAGATATAACAGTCTGAAACAGAACTGGAAGTTTCTTCCTTTATAATTCACTCAATGGTAAATCTCATCCTACCATCCTGAGTTCCAAGTTGACACGTTAGATTTTTGATGGCTAGATAAATCAACATCCAGCCCCAGAGTTGACCTTAATATTAAGGAATCTAAAAATCTACACCTATTGATAATGAACAAATCAGCATAGGTGACACTGATAGAGTGTTCAGGGCCTTCAGTAAAAATTTCTGAGATAAATCATTCAAGGGAATTTCACAGAACTTTGGACATGACCTGTCCTACTGCTTATGATTTCATCTGCCTAAAATCAGTGCATAAGCCCACATCTTCTGAGTAATCTTTACTGATTTTTAGTCAGTCAGCATCTAGTGCTGCAAACTGTGTACTCTACAGGCAGCCCTGTGTGATTTTATGTATAGACTCTATCCTTTATACAGTGATTTAGGATTCTAATGTCTCCCCAGAACAGCAGTACGGAGATTCGTGCAGCCTTTGTTGTCTTTCCCAGAGTGAAGAGCCTTGTTTTCTTCTAATTGTTTTTTCTTGAAGTTGTTTAGTGTTTCTGGAAATGCTTTACCTTTGCCAGAGATACATAGATTCTATTTTGTTGAACCACTGGCAATATAGTGGAAGATCCCAATTCTTTTCTCCTTCACATCTCTGAAAAAAATCTTTTTACAGTCATTCTAGTGCTAATTTGATCAAATGTGAGAATTCATTCAAGAGTGAAGTCTTTGTATCTTAAAGTTTTATTTATATTAACTGTGTTTTATGCATATTTAAAAATTATTTCCATAAAATGAAATACCACAAAAGGACTGATAGGAAGATGATTTCAAGAGAATTCATGGTACCCTCTCCCATAGCAAGTCACTTAATTCATCAAACAAACTAACCTAAATAGATTGTACTTGGAAGTATTTATTGTTTCTATTCTATGATACAGTGGTCTCTGTCCTGAATATATATTGGCCTGCAAGTAAACTAGTAAGTTGAAAGAGATCAGTTAAAGTCTCTATGACAACTAATTGGGTTGTATATGGAATTTATTGACTGGTAATTAGAATATATCGGTTTGTGTGTAGCAAAGTGTTTACACGACGTGAGCCGTCTGCTGTGATCAGCAATCACCACATTGAAAGCAGATGGGACTGTATACAGAGCATATTGGGTTTTGTGTACATTATAATGCATTGTAGCAGTTTATATGCTCAAATATACATATGAAGTTACAGAATTTATTAAATAAACATTCTTTTTATATCCTCCAGCAACAGATCCTATATACTTCAGGAAGTAGTTGAGCTATTAGAAATGTTTATTTATGATTCTATTTAGTCTGTTCTCATAGTGTGTCCAAAAGAAGGAACTGTATCCTACTAGCTGTTAATGAAAGGAAGATTCTCATTAGACTGTATGAATTTAACATGAGCACATTTTCCTTTGACATGTATATTTACTTATATTAGTATATCCAAGACAATCTGGTGCTTGATAGTCACCTGGAAGAGCTGTGAAGGTGCCAGCAACTATTCTGTATTCAATACAGTGGAGAATATATATAGTGTCATATTTTTATCAAGACTGTAACAGCATAAGCTGTTTTACAGTAAAACACGAGAAAAAACAAATCTGAGATTCTCTAAGAACAAAGTAAAGATATTTTTGATTTTTTTTCCTCTGTGTTTAGAACCAGCACAGTGAGCTTTGGATCATTTCCACTCTCAAAACTGTTAAAAATTCCACTGAATAAAGAGGTCCTCAGTACCGACAGGTCAATTATTAAAAGTATATTAATCATTACGCAGGATGTACAAGTTCATGATTATTGAAAAAAATCGCATTTTATTTTATGCTATTCTGTATATGCTGATGCAGATAAGGTTCAGTTGATTACTTCTGAAAAAACAGATATTTATTTGAGCACAGGGGTTATGTGTAGATGATTCAATTAAGTACTCAGTGCCCTCAAAGTTTATGGGAAGTACTTGGTGCCCTGTTAAAATAAAACAAATTGATTGAGACTGTATATGTGTACTGTAACAAGTTCTTAATGAGGAACTGCCTGCTCATCAGTGGTGCTCAGGAATCTGTGTTTTATAGCTTTCCCTGGTCTTTATGAACTTCTCTGTTTCCCCTTTGGTCTTATTCTGAAGATCTGCTATTAAATACCAAAAGCCTTGTAAACAACTTCACTCCTTCTCTTTGGATGGGAAAACCTCCTCTCGGTCTTTGAGTCTATGATTTGTCATCACTGTTCCAGAAACTTGCTAAATCTTCAGAAATAATTCATATCTTGACATCCAAAGAATGGCTTTCCCAAGAGGCTAAGGTATAACTAAGTTCTACCCCACTTTCATGTATTTACATGAATTCTTTCTGAGTCAGATCCAATATATCCAATACCTTCTCAAATCCTAGTATGAGTCATTAAGTGATCACATTTGGGTTTTATTTATGCAACACTTTTATTATTATTATTATTATTATTATTAAAATTAATCATCATTAAATGTTTGTATTAACATAACATTATTTATTATTAAGTGTAATAAAATAATAGTTAGTAATTATTAATAATAGTTTTAATATCACAAATTATTATTAATAATAACTGATATTTAATTTAGATAACATTAATTACTAGTATTAGTTAACTATTATTAAGTATATGATAATCATATACATTAATTATAATTAATACATAACATATTAATTATACACTTTATATATAGGATTATTAATTAATTAATGATTTTATTATATTTATTATATTTATTACTTTATAATTAACTAATTATATAACAGTAATTATGAATTATTAAATAATGTTATATAAACATAAATTTTATATATATATATATATGGGTGTGTGTGTGGAATGCTTACACACTTTTAACATACCTGTTAGAAGGGTCAATAACTTTTCACTGTGTCAAGAGATTTATATTATTTTGATATATTTGTTACTTTGAGCAATAATATTTTACAATAACAATGATCACAAAGGTTCAAACTACGAACTGTTGCTTCATTTCCCCAGCAGCTCAACTTGTATCATTAAAGTTATCTACTTTACCCTGAAAATTTAGAATGTAATACTACTTTTTTTCACAGTGTACAAGCATACTTCAAAACAGGTTTATGCACAGAGTAGTGGCTAGCAGTGATGAAATGTAACAGTCTAGATCTGACAAAGAAGTAAACTCTCATCTCACACAAAATGCTTTGAAGAGTTAAGAATATTTTAAAAACTATTCTCAGCATAATTTTGTCTCATCTTTCACACAAGTCCTATTTAAGTGGAATTATCACCATGTTTCCAGAGGCAAAAAAGAGGGTTAGATATTAATGTAAATCCTTCAGTTTCTCCCTGGGAGAGTAGAGAGGAGATGGCAAGTCTTCAAAGGACACTTTTGTTTGTGTGTATCCATTTGCAGAGTCCTGGATCTTTGGAGAGTTGATGATTCCAGGTCATTAGGAAGCATCTGGTTGATACCACAGAGATCCTTAGTATGTTACTAGGCAAATTAAGATCAAATGCTTCAGCTGGAGCCATTCATTGACAAGTCAACTTGTGAAAATCAAGGGCAATGAGAAGCAAACAGAGGATGTCCTGCAGCAGTAGGTCATTCTCTAGGCTGCAGACATGACAGTTCTCAAGGAAACAGGAAAAGGAAGCAGTGAAATGCATATTCTTCTAAGCAGAAACTTTGAGACATTGAAATCAAACAGAGCAGAGATGGAAGGGATCAGTTATTTCATCCTGCTGAAAATACTGTAACGTTCCTCTGAGGATTAGCATTTTGTTCAGCATGGTGTTAAATATTCCCTGCTAGGAGCTGCTTTTTTTTTTTTTTTTTGAGAGACTGTTTAAACCAGAACAGGTCTTAGTATCAGGAAACAGTCTTGTCTGTAGCCTAAATATTCATATTTCTTAATTTCATCCTA